TGCCTCAGTTTGAACCCCAGGAGGTCCCAGAGGTGGGATGCAGCTCTAATGACGAGGACAAAGACGATGATGTCATAGAGATCACAGGGAAATAAAAAGGCCTGGCTCCTGCTCGGTCTCAGCTCTGCCAGGAGGCAAAAGTTGCAGGACCTTTTTGGGAGTCAGGATTTCCCCTCTGGGCCACGGCAGTGGGTGGAGAAGGATGCAAAGGGTGTGGTGTGGGGGTGGCTTTGTTCTTTTCGTTTTGTTTTGTTRTTTTYTAGTGTCAAGGGTAAGAATTGTATTAGGGGCTGGGACATGGGAAAGGTATAGAGTGGACCTGTGAGGGCCAGGGGAGCAAGAGCCAGGGGAGGAGGGAAGCAGCAATGCAAACTGTAGGAGTGCCTCCCCCCACGCTCTGTCTGTCTGTCTGTCTCTGTTCTCTGTCTTGTCTGGCCGTGGAGGCTTGGTGTTGTGAGTCACTGCCCTTCTCAGGCCTGGAGGCGCGGGCTTGACCGCTGGCAGGGCCGAGCTCCCTCTCACATGAACTGCCTTATCTGTGAACTTCTCTCACTGCAAGAGGGGTGGGCCGGGGGGTGACTCCACCAGAGGTTGGGGACAAAGTGTTTTTAATGGGGAGGGAGTGGGGAGGCTTCTACATTGTGTATGTTGGGGCAGGGAGGGAGGGGATTGTTGTCAAAAAAAAAGAAGAAAGAAAAAAAAAAGATAAAAAAAAGAAAATACCCCACAATTTGTCACCCTCTTCAAATTCACATGAGACTAGTATGAGGGCTYCAGGCAGGCTCCTGTGCCTGGGCTCTTGTTGGGGTTTCCCCCAGGCCCTTCTTTAGGGTCCCATCCAAGGTAGGTTGGCCCTGTGGGTCTGATGCCATCTCTGTGCCAGGCCAGATGAGTGGAGCAATCCCACATGTCTTGGTGGCCATCAGAGGGGAATCCTGGTGACTTCCCCATCTCCTCCCAGGCTGTGTGAAGGCCACGTCTCACCCTGCTGTGGCCCACCAGATCCAGGGCTGGGTGGGCTCACTACTGCTTCTGAACAGCRCTAGGCAGTGGAGAAGGTTGGGAGGGGACGCTGGACCAGTGCCAGTTGCTGTTGAATCTGTGACTGGAGGGACTTTCCTCTGCACAGAATCTCTACGTTAATTTATTTCATGAAGGCATAATATTTATTGTCTGGGGGAGTCTTTCTTTCTACTTTTAAATTAATTTCCATATTAAAAAAATAAAAAGCTGGCCTCCATCATGCAGTAGTCACTTGTTGGATTGTCTGTGTGGGGAGAAGCAGCCGGTTGACCAAAGCCCAGCCTAGGAGCAGGGCCAGCTGTGGAGGTGGCCTGTGGCTCACKCGGGTGGCACCAGTTGGATGTGTCCCATCAGGGGTTCTGCCAGAGCAGGAGCTGCTCTGGGTGCTGCACAGCCAGAGGGAGGATGGAATCCTCTTGTCACGGGGCAGGTGGAGGAGCACGTGTGGAGCCTGCTGTGCTCGTTCCCAGTGGGAAGGAGGAGAGCTGTGAGGTGTGTGGAGTGGGGCAAACAGAGCTCTTGCTGGGGAAGTGCCTTTCCCCACACAGGGAGTGACCCCCTGCTCAGCCCCACCAGTGCAGAGCCTGGCCCTGGCCCTGCCAGCGAGCACAGTCTGCTCCTCAGGGCCAGGGCTCCTAGGGAGAGGCTGGGATACCCAGGTGCAGCCTTGGAGCATGTGACTGCGTGTGTGAACACACTAGGATGGACACCTGAAATCCGGGAACCTCCGTGTCACGTCTGGGTGTCACCATGCAGGAGCTGTGCTCRCCTGCCTTGGATGGCCCTGGAGCTGGTGGTAGCCTGTAGGGGACCCCTAGACCATGGAARCTGCAGTCACTGGTGTTTGCTGGGACCAACTAGATGTAGGAAAGGGCAGGATGTCCTGACATCCTCCACCAAAGGGGTGCTGGAAGATGGGGACCTCCCTTCCTGAGAGAGAGAGAGGGGTGTGTGTGCACGCGTGTGTTACGGAAACATAATAAAAAATGTTACGGGGCTTTCCTAGTGTCTTTCTCTGTTTAATGGACATTGTYTGTCAAACATAACCACACCATTCATAGAAGCCTTAGATCAACAGTTTAGCTATGCAAATTATTTTAATTATTTTTTAAAAAAAAACAAACATTAAAATAGTGCTTTCTTCTTTAACATATCCTAGGAGTTGAAAACCGAGGGGTTCTGAGCAAACTGCTGGACAACTTGTCTTTGGATGCACCATGGAAATAAAAATCAAACCCCCCCACAAAAGTAACAAAGCAAATTAACTGATGGTGTTCATGCAAGTTTCTCCAAAGACTTGACAGTGCTGCATCTGTGAGTCATGCCCTCCTGTGCTCTGTGTGTCCACCTCATGCACTACCCTGTGACACTGATTGTATGACCAGCTTGCCCAGATGTCCGTTGCATCCCTGTGAGGCTGTCAGTTTTCCGGTGGATTTGGGGAATGGAYCTAGGCAAGGGCTTTCCTTGTCGAGAGTAGCAAGTGTTGAGAGCTGCGGGTGCGTGTGGGAGGCGGGAAGGTGAGCAGAGCCCCCAGAGCCCTGCGACAGCCCCAGCCCTTCCTGTGGGGTCAGGGYAGTGGGGCTTATCCAAGGGACCCTTCCGCGTCATCTCTGAACGGGACCTGTGCTGGGACAAGGTGTGGATGTGGTTGGGGGCAATGAGCACCGTGGTCTGGATGTGGTACTGGTGGCTGCACACCATTTTCTCTGCTCCTCGCCTCTCCAGGAGAGCACCCAGGGCTTCCATAGCAGGCCCTGGCACATTCCCGTGCTGTCCCCTGATGTTCTCCTGTGGTTCCCCAGCAGCGCCTGGGCTCTGTGGCTGTAGGAGCTGGGGGTGGCTGGCACTCTGCTGCTGCAGCGTGCAGAATGTGCCCTGGCTGGCTGGCTGTKAACCCAGCACCAGGATGAGCTGTGAGGGCTCTTCCGGCTCCTGTGCGCCATGGCAGCTTGGAGACTCCTTGGCACTGCTGTGGTGTGGCTGTCCTGGCTGTGACCTGCCACCGGCAAACATCTGCAGCCCCAGGCAGCCACAGCACAGGGGCCCTGCACAGCGAGTGCCCAAGAGCAGCCCCAGCCCCAGCTCTGCCCTGCCACAGCCCTGGGCACCCCTTCGGGAGGGGATGGGTCCCCTGGGCCCTGGCAGAGCCTTGGTCGAGGGGTGGTCGTGATGCCCTGCCCACAGGGCTCCCCTGGGAGCTGGCACTGGCTCGGGCTGCACTCCCTCAGTGCCATGGGCAGGATTTCCTCTGCCCCACAGAAGCCATGGGGGGAGGTGATTTATCCCGAGTGGAGGGAGCTCTCSAAGCCCTAAAACTCCCCTCCCGTGGGCCCTGCTCTTCTCCCTCATCTGCTCTCCCCAGAGGATTCTCCTCTCCAGCGTGCGATTCTGCTGCAGAGAGTCCTCTCTTGGTTTTTCTGAGCCTGGAACAGGGGCTTTCTTTCCCTGCGTGGGTTAAATTTTTCTTTTGCTGCTGAATTTCTGTCTCCAAATGACCTGATGGGAAGCAGCTGCCAGTTCTCAGAGGGGCTGTGGGTGACACTGAAGGTAGCAGTGCAGGACTCTCTGCACAGGGTTTTGGACAGTAAGGAAGATTTCCAACCACAGCCCAAGGCCAGGGCAGATCTGCAGGGCCTCAAGAGTGGTCAGCTGCCCTCCATGCTGGCACCCAACCCTCAGCCCTTCCCTTTGGTGGGTGGTTTCCACTCCTGGGACAGTCAGGTGAAGGCTGGGTACCACCGTGGGACAGTGCCATGGGCATCGGGGGCTGCTGCTGCTCCGTGCCCTGGGCTTGGTGGGTTTGTTGCCCCCACTGCTGGTGGAGCTCTTGGGGCTTCCTGGGAGGCTGCAGAGTAGGGGCAACACAGCCCAGCCTGGCCCACGTTGGACAGGATCTGCTCCATACTGTCTTGGAGTGTCTGATAGGATGGGGGGATTGCGTGCAGCTACTTGGAGAAAGCAAATATTACGGCAAGCAAAGGTGGGATTTCCATGGGGGCTTCACTAGAAATTATGTGTATTTTGACTTAATGATGTCAGTGAATCATAAAATGGTTTGGGCTGGAAGGGACCTTAAAAATTGTCTTGTTCCAGCCCCCCTGCCATGGGCAGGGACACCTTCCACTAGACCAGGTTGCTCCAAGCCCCATCCAGCCTGGCCTTGGACATTTTCAGGGATGGGGCATCCACAGCTTCTCTGGGCAACAAATTCGAGTGGCTGAATGCACGAGAATTGCTGCTGGTTTGAGGGTGGCTTCCAGGCCAACAGGGACAGGTACAGCAAACACCTTCACAGCTGCTGTCTCTTGCCACTCTGGAATAAATTTTATTGATCCAATCTTGGAAGGACCGAGGGTGGGGGAGGGCTGGGGCGGGGGGCAGAGGTTGAACAGGGACCTTAGTTCAGCTAGATTTCAGTGAGGGGATGGCTCCTTGCACCTCAGAGCAAGTGCTCCCGGAGATGGGGCAAGTGAGGGAGAGCAACCTCTGCCACCTCCCAGACCACCAGCACTGCCTCAGCTGCTTCGTGGTACCCAGCTCGGAGCTGGAGTCTGGCAAATCCATGGGAGCCTGAAGGAATCCATCACTGAGTCTCATATGGGGTTTTCTGTTGGTTTGGGTTTCTTTTCCTTTTTTTTTTTTTTTTTTTTTTTTTTTTTTTTTTTTTTTTTTTTTTTTTTTTTTTTTTACTACCGCCTTAGTTTGTGGCCTGTCTTGTTGTGGTTGGAAAGAGGAGTATTGCTAGCAGGGTGGGTTGGTCGGTTGGCCCCACGCATAATCATGTGCTTCCCTCTTCTCTCTGTTGAACGAGATGTGCTCGCCTGATCACCCAGAACAGAGACTTTGAACAATTTGTTGTTTATATGATGTATTTATTTTTACTTGTGTTTCATGTCATTTTTTTAAAAAATAATAAATTGTAAGTTGGTATAACTGCCTGTTGCTTCTCTTTTTTTAAATTTTCTTTTCCTCAGGTAAAATCAATGTCAAAATTTAAAAAAGAAAGCAATGTGGGTTGGAACTGGGTTGGGCATGAGCATCTCTGCACATCTGGAGCCCGGGCTCAGCCAGCAGGTGTGTCCTGCAGCCTCCAGCGGTGCCTGGGCTGTGTCCACACCCCAGAGACCCCCGGTGTGTCCTGCAGCCTCCAGCGGTGCCTGGGCTCTGTCCACACCCCGGAGATCCCCGGTGTGTCCTGCAGCCTCCAGCGGTGCCTGGGCTCTGTCCATCCCCTGGCAGACCCCAGGTGTGTCCCGCTGCCMTCCAGAGGCGCCGTGCCGGGGCTGGGTCTGTGGGTGTCAGGGAACCAGTGGCTCTGCTGGGTCTTGCCCCTCCCTGTCTTCTGTGCTTATTATTGCTGCTGCTGGTCGTCAGTAGGGGCCGGGGGAAAACAAGGAYAATAAATATTCTGCAGGTAAAGAGCTTTGAGTCTCGGAGAGCCAGGGCGGGCCCCGTGGGGCTGGCGGGGTTGAGGTAGTAACAGCGAGGCGGTTCTGCACGGGAAGGCGAGAGGCGTTCCGGAGCTGGTGCCCACACGGAGAAGGGCCCTGGAGAGAGCGGGAGGAGCTGCGGGCAGCCCTGGCTCCCTGTGCCCCTCACAGGCGCTGGGGGTGCCGCCGCACCCGGCCGTTCTTGCTGTCCGGGGACGGGTGCTGCCACTTGTGCCAGGCTCGCTGCCGCTGGCGCTCCTGCAGCCGCAGGGCATTGCAGTAGGCGTCCAGGCTGGTGCCCGGTGCCCCCAGGGCCCGCGGGAAGCCCTTGGAGCCCGGGTGCAGGTCAATCCGGGCCCGGGGGCTCTGGTGGGTCCCTCCCAGCTCGGCCCCCTTGCTCCGTCTGTAGGGTGGCAGCTCCATGGCCTCGTGTCCGATGACGCGAAGGCTGTAGCGGGTCAGGGGCCGGGAGAAGGAACGCTCCACCGCCTGGCATTCGTAGGTGCCCGTGTCCTCCCTTGCCAGCTGGCGGATCAGCAGCCCTTGCTCCAGCACCAAGAAATGCCCGTTGTTCCTGACCTGGAGCGAAGGCAGAGCCGTGGCTCAGTCCTTGGGGATGGAGTCCCCCTGCTCCCCGTCCCCGCTGCCCTGTCCCCGTACCTCGCTCGGGGCTGTCTCCTCGCCGTGCCGCGCCAGCCACCGGATCGCGGTCTGCGGGGAGCGCGCCASGCACTCGAGGAAGGTCGAGTTCTTCTCCACCCCAAAAACCACCTTCTCCACCGCAGCAGTCCCTGTGCAGGGGAAGGGGTGAGTACCCTGCGTGGTGGTTGTGTGGCAGGAGAGAGGCAGGGCAGCACGGAGCACCAGCTCGCCGTGGGAGCGCTGGTTTCCCAGAGCGGTGCCGGCCCCCTCCTGGGCATGGCGCTCCCTGGGCACAGCTGGCTGCCCCAGCCGGGGATGCTCTCACCCTCTGCCCTGTCCTGGCACTGGCTGAGCGGGTCCGCCTTCAGCACGTCCTGGCAGCGGGCACGCCTGGGAGAGAGCAGACAGCGCTGTGGCTGAACCACCCCTRCCTGTGGGACCCCTCCGTGACAGTGCAGCCAGGAAGGGAGACSGGGAAAGGGGGGGACAGGCAGGCGGTGTGGCAGTAGGGTCTGGTTGGTGGGTAAAATTCCAGGGCTGACGCTTGTCCTCCCTGCTSTAAACAGCATCACTTTCTAGGGGGATGCAGGGCTGGCGCGGGCACACACTCACCTCTTCTCGGTGAGCAGGTGYGGGGCACAGGTCTGGCTGTCCCAGGTGCAGTAGGGATCCCTGGCCAGGCAGCAGTCGGTGCAGGTTTTGCCGTAGAGCTCGCAGCGGTACAGGGAGAGCTGGAGCAGCCCGTGCGTGCTGCTCACAAACAGCTCCTGCTGCTCGGACAAGAGGGACAGAGGCAGTCAGAGCACACGACCCCCTGCCCCGTGCTGGAATAGGGGCACTGGGGGACAGCAGGAGTGAGAGACAGAGCCTGCCACCCCCTTAACGCTCTGGCAGGATCCCGTTTCCTAAATGTGCACGCCCTGGGGCCGGGGGGCCCGTCAGAGTGGCTGGGACCRGCTGCTGTYGGTCCCTGTTSRTGGGCTGCTTTAGGGAGAAGCAGGMGGGAGACTCACCCGCTTTGGTGACAACTTCATGTCCAGGATGGGAGAAGGCACCTGGAGGGAAAGGAAGAAGGTGCTGCAGCCATGTCAGTGCCTCCTGGTGCCCCAGCCTGCCAAGTAGGATTGTGTTCCCAGGGGTTGCAGGACGCCAGCACCGTGGGCCGGGTCCCTGGTCACAGCTCCGTGCAAGGAGCCTGGGYTGGCTCTGCCCAGCAGCCCTGCTTGCAAACCTGGGCTCAGCCCTCCCATTTCAGTGCGGGCTCCAATGTGCCATCCACATCCCCCTCAGGGACTGGAGGGGAGCTGGAAAATGGCTTTGCTCCAGTCCCACTGGCTCCCCTCGCTGCCTGTAGCATTCCYTGCTGCCCAGGGCGGGTGGGAGTCCCCAGCAGTGAGGTGAGACCACCCTGGCAGTGGTCAGTGACGGGCTGCAGAGCCTGCAGGGAGAGTGCCACGGCCACAGGAGGCTGTGTGATCCGGCCACTGTGCTCCAGCCCCGTGGTGCCACCCTGGCTGCCTGTACCTTGGTGACGCTGATCTCCTCCAGGCTGATCACCTCGGGCCCACGGCTCACCCCGCCCGCCAGTCCCACCTTCAGGACTTTGCCGTCATCTGTGAAGGCAGCGAGAGGAGGAGCTGTCAGGGCTGGGATCGCCCYGGGCTAGCGGAACCAGTGTCACACACTGTCCCCAGAGCTGGGTGAGCACCCACCTGTGCCGAGGAAGAGCACGTCGTGGTGCCGGCTCTCCGTGTCCAGCCGGTGCACCAGCAGCCGCCGCAGCCGGTAGGGCACATTGACCCGGAGCAGCACGGGCTGCCGGCCCTGCGGGTACACGGGCTCCCACATCAGCTGGTGGCCGCGCATGAAGCTGATCACCTCGTCGGGAAAGTCCTTGGTGGAGCGCACCAGGGGGTCGTAGGTCTCACTGGGACACTGTGRCACAGGGGCTGCATCAGGGCCAGGCCGGTCTGTCCCACTGCCCCTCCGGCTGCTCCCCATCCCCTTACCGTGCCGGGGCGGGGGTAGGGGACACGCCCTTTGTATTCTACCCAGCGGTAGTCGAATCCCTCCTTGTGTGCGAAGGGGCCGCTGAAGGCAGCTCTCACGGCAGCCATGGAGTAGATGCAGACGGCAGAGCCACTGAAGACACCACTGCCGGGAGCACAGGGSTCTCAGGGTCCCGGCTGCTCCATGGGGACCAGGTGTATGCACACCCGCTCCCCTGAGCCCACACTGTCCCCTGTCAGCCCTGCAGCCACGCACAGCACCCCAGAGGTGACAGGAATCCCTTTGGCACAGCCTGTCCAGCCTGGGGACCGCTGACTGTGCCGATGCCCAAACTGCCCTTGGACAGTGTGCTGGTGAGCCAGCGRCAGGGAAAGCAGGGAAACACTTCCTCAGCCAGCTGGGTGCTGTCCTGCCCTTTTCCCCCAGAGCTCCCTGTGAGCAGCACTGGTGGGGTCTGGGGGGCTGGACTGTCCCACACAGGGGCTGATGAGGGTCCTGCTCACCTGGACACTGTGAAGAGCCCAAAGACGAGGGGATTCTGGGGGTCCCGGGTGCGCAGGACRAAAACATCCTCTGCAAAGAGAGGGTGGAGGTGAGGCACCCCGGGGCTGGAGCACCAGTCCAGGGGATGCAGGTGGGAGCAGCTCTGTGCTGTTGCAGGCCTTAGACAGAGCTGTGCACTCACCCAGCTGGTCAAAGTGGGTCTCAGTGCCCTGAGGCCCAGGGATGGAGCACACCAGGCGGGCCTTCAGGAAGGTGCTCCAGCGGTTGATGAGGCTGCGCTTCCCTCCAACATCATTCTGCCAAGCACCGAGAGGAGGGGTCAATCCAGCCTCCCTGAGTGTCCCCCACTGCTGTGCCCTCCTCATTCCCACTGAGGGACACGCCCAGCCCTGAGCCTTCTGCCCTGTGGTAGGTGTGCAGTGACACCATCACATTCCTCTGCTTGGGATGCTCCGTGGTCCAGCGGAGGTAGAAGCCCACCTGGTGGGACAACTGGCCACAGCGTGCTGGTCTTGGCAACTGACCTTGCAGACCCTGGCCACCCTGGCRTGGATGTGCCGCCGCTCCCATTGCCCAGCTTCCATGGCCGTCTCACGGAAGAAAATGTAGATTTTGTCATCGTGGGGGTTGTAGGTGTCAGGGATGGCGTAGGCACCGATGAACGCGGGCTCTGCGGGAGGGAAGAGCAGCACAGCATGGCCCCGTGCCCTGATCCCACCCTGTGGTGCCCTGAAAGCCCTTGGGAGCAGTGAGCAGCACTGAGGGCACGCAGGGCGATGCAGACTTGGCTGTCCAGGAGGCAGAACACCATTCCCAGTGCTCAGGCTGTGGAGCACGTGCTGGAGCACCAGGGCCTTCATCAGAGAGGGGACCCAGACCACAGAGCTCTGTCCCCAGTGCTGGCCCCAGCTTGTCCCCAGAAGGAAGGAGAGCCCCCATGYGTCCCCCTGCTCCTACCGTGTAGCCAGTGGTCCTGGTTCTGCTCCGTGCGGATGTAGCTCTGCTCGGCCCCGTGCACCCAGGTCCGGAAGAAGGCAGCGCTGCTGCCCATGAAGTCGCTGGAGGTGCCTGAATACAGCTCCCCATCTGCAGGGTCAGGGGGTGTGGCTGGGAAGCAGCACCTCCCGGCACAGATTATTGCCAGCTCTCCCCCTCCAGCCTCGCCTGTGCTCCCYGCTCGCTCTTACCGATGAGGAGTCCCGTGAAGGGCTCACGGGGGCTGTACGGGCACCGTCCTCGCCCCGATTCCAAGGAGTGGGTCACCAGCTGCATGCGGGGAGCCCTGGCACCCTGCCAGAGCCAAGGGGGAGCTGTCAGCCCAGGGGGAGTCTGGGAACAAGCTGGGACTTGAGGGAAAGRGTGGGAAGGAGGCTGGTGTGTCTGTGAGGGTCGGGCTCCTCAGGGGGGCTGCCAGCACCTGATCCCATCCCCATTTGGACACTGGACTGTCCCAGGGCAGAGCTGCTCTCACCATGTGAATGCCAGGACTGCACCAGGCTGCCCACCCTCCCCAGGCTCTGGGGCTCCCTCTCCCCCTGCTCCCAGGAGAGAGTCCCTCGGCACCCTGTGCACAGGGATGTGTCTGTCCAGCCTGTCCCTCACCTTGCCCCTGGCTCCCAGCTGGATAAAGGCGCAGACAGGCTGGTAGGAGCCGGTGCCGCAGGCCAGCACGTGGCTCTGGTTGAAGGGCTGGAGCAGGCGGATGAAGTTGGCACAGTCGGTCTGYGCAGGGGAGAGGTTTGTCAGGGCTGCAGGGGGTGCAGAGCCTGGCCACAACCTGCACCAGCAGCTGGCCAGCTGGGCTTGGCTCGGCTGGCTCCACACCCCGTTCCAGGCAGACCCCCAGCTCCCTTTTGGGGTGACGGGGTTGTTTGATATCCGTGCTGAGCTGCCAGAGGTGACTGCAGGGGCTGCCAGCCYTGCTTACCTCCACGTTCTTCCCTGCCAGCTGGCAGTGCTCCACCTGCTCCCTGGGGGCTGGCCAGAAAATCTGAAACACAACGACCCCATGGATGGAGCCCCCGCTCCCCTTGGCCTCCCGTGGCACCAGTGGGAGCAGCCTCAGCCAGCAGGCGCTGCCAGGCTCAGGGGCACAGCGAGGACATGGGGATTCTCTRACACCCCCTGCGTCCCCAGGGCCCCGTGGGCAGCCTGCCAGTGTGAACCTGGCGTGGGGACAGAGGCTGGGCGTGCCGTGGCCCACCCAGGCTGTGGGCAGGCTGTCCTGGATCCCAGCCCATGGGAACACCAGGCTTAATGGGATTTTCTTTTGTTGGGCTCAGGCCGTGAACCGCCAGCAGGATGTCTTGGGATGACATTAGTGGACGCACTGCTGGAGCCCTTGAGGCAGCAGCAGGGCCTTGGTGTGACAGCAGGGCAGTGCCCAGAGCCCACCCAGGTCACCTCTCTTGGCTGAGCCACCCTGTCCCTCCGGTGCCAGCCCTTCCCAGCAGGGCTCAGCTCCACCAGGGATGGCTGACCCCACTGATTGAGACATCCTGGTGTAAATGTGTCCCTGGTGAGGTTAGAACAGCCCAGTTCAGAGCACATCCACCTCCACGCCCTGGCGCTGGGACAAGGAGTGGTTCCCAGAGAGGAAGAGCCMAGCCTGGCCATGGCCACCCTCCACCCAGCACTGACCTTCTCAGGCTCTCTGCTGGGATGGTCCAGGTGGAGCAGGAAGATATGGTTTTTTGCTCCCACCATCAGCCAGCCCCTGTCTTCATCCACCAAGAGGGCTTGGAAATCCATCCCATCCCCTGAGGCCAGCAGCAGGCGAGAGCTGTTGGATTTCAGCAGGTCTGAGGAGCAYCAGCAAGGTGGGAGAAAGAGAAACCCATCTATGAGCGACACGACCACAGCCAGAGGCTCCGTGCCTCCCTGTCGGGGACAGCTCTGGTTCCCTATCCTTGCTCCAAGGGTGCACAACATTCCTGCAAATTTTGCCTTAGCAAAACCCACCACTCTCAGTGCCCCTAAGCTCATCGTGGAGCCTTCCCCATGTGCCTGCCCGAGGGAAAGTCACTCCTAAAGAGCAGAACAGTGCTGACCTGGCCCTGGCTGGGCTGGTTTGCAGGGCACAGGGCAGGACAGGGGCCCAGCACCAGTAGCCCAGGGTCCTCAGCTTCCAGCCTGCCTTCCAAAGGAACTCCTGGAGCCCCAAAACATCTGCACCCTGAAACTGGGGGCAGAGGATTTGCTTGCTGTGCCTCCTGGCATGCTTTCCCTGGGCTTCAGATGAAGACAGTTTACATTTGAGAAAGTGTTTTGCTGTTTGCAAACACTTGCCCACACACAGGGTCAGGCTCATGGATGCCCTGGAACCGACCCGTGTAAGGGAAATCTGCCTGTGCYCAGGGTGCCACCCCAACCCAGCACCCCGCATTTGCCACTCCTGAGGCACAAACCCAGCATTACCCTGGCTCGGGGGAGGATCAAGGGTGCCATACACCAGTGCGCTCCTTGGGGAGCAGAGGCAGGGCCGAGGAAAGGTCCAGCTCTTGTGGCTGCAGCTCCTCCCTGCAGCAGCCGGGGCGGCTCGCCTGGCCCTTCGGCACACTTGTGGCCATGTGGGGGTGTGAGAAGGACAATGAGCTGTTGTCTCTTGGTTAAAACTCCGGAWACAACATCCCTGGGGCCGGTACTGGTCCGTGATGTGCAGTGCCAGGTTTGGGGGCTGTGTGTGGGGCGAGCGGCCCCCGGWGCCGCCAGAGCGGCGGCTGCACCGACACGGGACTGCAGCAGCTGCCGGCCCGAGCGCCTGCTCCGGGGATCGGGGCAGGAAGAACCAGCACCCAGGCGGTCCTTGGAGCTTCCAGAAATCATAACGCATCACTTCCCTCTCCAAAAGTGACAGGACATGGCTGGGGATAGGGGGCTGGCTCCCGGCTTTGGTGTTGAGCAGAGTAAAGTGGGGCCGTGGGAGGGGGATGGAGATGGGCAGCGCTGAATGGAGGTGGAATGTGGCTGGAAACCCAGGGAAACCTCTAAGATCGGGGCTGAAAATGTGCCCCAAGTCACACGGAGTGAAACAGCGTGTCAGGAGCAGAGGGAAGGAGATGATCGAGGGAAGCCGGTGGTGGCCAGGGCRATGGAGTGCGGGTGGGAGCGGGGCGGATGCGGCCCCGGGTGCAGGTGGGGTGGACGTGGGCACGGGCACGGCTCCATCGAAGGGAACCGGCTGAGCCGGGAGGCTGTCTCACTTCCTTCCAGCCCTTYTGCAGGGCAGAGGGCAAGCGGGGCCGCTGCCTGCGGGCTGCAGACGCCACTGACGTGCTCTTGTCCCTGCCGGATCCAGCGGCCAGGCTGGCTCCCAGCGAGCGCTTCCACCTCCCCTTGCTCCGGGTCAGAGCTCCGATCACCGGGGTGACACAAATCCTCCTCTGCCAGCATCAGGGAGCTCCTGGCTCTCCTCCTGCTGCCACAAAAACTGCACTCCGCACCTTCCCGCGGGTGTCCTTCTCCTCTGGCTACCAAAGGTACAGGGCAGAAGGCCTCCAAGCTGTTTCCCACCAGCTGAATGGGATTAACAGCTGAATTCCTGTCCGTGCCTGCGGGCCATTGTCCCTGCTGGATCTCTGACAGGGTGCGGTGCCTCGTTCACCCTCCTGTGCCTGCCAGCKCTCCCAGGACCTGCCTGCTCCGGGGGAAATGTCAGCCAGGGCTCGGGGAGGGGGCTGAGGTGGAGGGCAAAGGCTCATCCAGCACACGAGTGTAATTGAGGGAATGGGGACAAGACTGGTCCTAGTGAATGTCACTTGCTGGTCACCCTCTGACCTGCACCAGCCCTGTCTGAGATCAAGGCCAGGTAGGGAGGAGGAGGAGGAGCCCTCCCTKCTGCCCCTGTACTGTGTGGGAGAGCCCTGGCAGGACTCCCTGCCTTGCACTGGCACCTCTGGCGGGTTAATGACCAGGAGGGTCTGAGCCTGACCCCACGGGGACATCGAGTGCTGGACCCAGACCCAGGCAGCTGCTGCTCAAAATCCAGCCTCTTCTCACCCTCAGGTCGTTAGATCTAAACCTGACCCTGGAGACAGAGAACCCGGGGGCAGCTGTGCCATGGCCCAACCTGCGGGTGAGCCCGGAGAAACATCCTCTCCTTTGTGTTCGCTATCTCACAAGGCCACGGTGTTTGTCTTTATGGTCCCCTGTAACTGCCGTGTCCATCCATCATCTCCGCCTGCCCCTCAGCRCAGCATCCTCCGTGCGGGGTGACCCCGAGTTTCCCGAGGTCACAGTCCGGCCGGAGGCTGCCCCGTGCCCTTCCCCTCAGCAGCCACGGAGCAGATCCCTGCAGCCCAGGGGAAGCGGGGTGCTGCTTGTGGCTCTGGCCCCTGGCTGCTGTGGGCTGATAAGGGACGAGCCAGGGCAGCCYTTGGTGCGATAAGCAGAGCCCCGTGGCCTCCCCGAGCCCTGGAGCCCTYGCCGTGTGCCGGTGGCCTCTGGTGTCCCTGGCTGGGCTGGCTGCACATCAAAGGCTGGCAGAGGAGCCGATTGCCAGCTCCTGGCTATCCCCGCGGGAGGAGCTGGCAGGAGCTCTGTGCTTTCCCTCGGGAGGAGAGGCTGACCCAGCCTGCCCCGGCTCTCCCCAGGCTGTCCTGTGTGCTGTTATAAACCTCCTCCTCAGCTCCTGGGCAGCCTGGGAGCCGCTGCTGTTGTTCCTGGCCCCGTGCCCTGTGCCCCATCCTTCCTGTGCTCTCCCGGCCCTCGCTGCTGTCATTTCCTTCTCTCGACCCTGCTTACGTCTTCTCCCCCCGCCCTGCCGAGGGCTCTGCCTGTCACCCCCATGCTGGGATCTGAGGGCAAGGCTAATCCCGTGGATGGATTCTCAAAGGCCTGCTTTTATTTATTTATTTTTCCTGGGGTTTTTAAACCTAAACTTCTCAAGGCATTGTGTCCTTGAACCTGCCCTGTGCTGTCCATGAGTCACATCCCCTCGCCATTGTTYGCCTCGTCCTTGAGCCCTCCTGATGTTGGGAGCTTCCTCTTCTGCCTCTGCCCAAGGCTGGAGGGTTTTTGGCATTCCTGGCCCCGGGACACTGTGGGGTTTTGAAGTCAGCAGTCCCTGTTCTCCCCAGCTGCCCCCGCAGCCCCGTGTGCCTCCTGTGGCTCCCAGGACGGGCAGACCCTGCACTGTTTCTGAGCTGGGCTATCAGCAGAGCCATCTCCTCACTCAGATATCCTGCCCCAGGAGGTGCAGCCCTCTCCAATCACATACAGGGGTGTATTCCACCGTGCTGGCTGTCCCTGCTGGAGAGCAGCTTCCCAGGGTGATGGAGCAGGCCAAGAGCACGGCCCCGGAGCCAGGAGTGCCATGCCCATGGGAAAGCTGCTCTGCCTTCCCTGAGGTGTGGAGAGGGCAGGTCCAGCCCTCCCAATTGTCACAGCCCAGCAGCACTGGGGATGTGCTGAGCTGCCATCCTCCAAAGCAACTTGCTGTTTTCCACACAGGAGAAACTGGAAGCAGGTCATGCTGCAGGCCATGTCCATGTGCAGGCTCATGCAGGGTGAGAAGCTGCCAGGCTGGCAGGGCTCTGTTCTAGCTGCTCAGGTCATTCCCCTGTAGAATTCCTCTCAGTACCCCCTTCCCACACTTCTGCTCTGTGCTGTGACCTGGCTACCTGCCAGTCTGCCCTTGCTGCATCTGCAGGTCACCAGAGCAGCCCCACCTCTGCACCGGGCTTGAAAGGAGCGAAGAGAACTCATAATCTAAACAGAGCAGAGAGATACGGGGGGAAGGGAAAGGCACAGCAGGGGGATGATCTGAGTRGGGAATCAGTCTCTCCTGGCAGAAGAGGAGGGGAAAAGCAGCAGGGCTGAGCTGGGTTGGGACTGTGCTGGTGAGAGGCAGAGGAAGAGGTGGTGAGACTGTCCTGGGGCTGTGTCCCCACTGCGCTGTGAGCAGAAGGTCGGGGACACTCCCTGGGGGTGCCCAGCTCAGCCCCAGCCCAGGACACACCAAGAGATGTCCAGAGTGAGTCTGAGCAGAAGGAGACATCCCCCCTGGTCCCGGTGTTCCCCTGGATCAGGGAAGGGCATTCCCTGTTCAGCCTCCTTTTCCAATGCCAGAGGCACCAGTGCAGCATCCTCAGAGACCGTGCTTGGAGCTGCACCCCTGAAACATCCCAAGGGCACCCGTGTGGAGAGGTCACAGCCACAGCCAGGGGCTGTTTGTCTCCCCACACCCTGGGCACCCTTTGCTCCCTGCAGGAGGCTCTCCCTGCCCTCCAGGGAGGTGCAGACCCCGAGGAACCCCTTACCTTTGTAGGAGAGGCGAAGGCGCGGGGCGTGCGGCTCCCCTGCCCCGCTGCTGCCCGGCTGCAGGAGGAGGAGGCTCAGCAGGGCTGTGGYGAGGGGCAGCTGATGGCCAGGGGCAGCCCACATGCTGGCAGGACAGTGGGCAGGGTCTGCTGGCCCTCACAGCACCATGGTCCAGCGCCGAGATGCCACGTCCAGTGCCACTGCAAGCAGAGAAGGAGGAAGGCTGCAGCTGTGCTCACTGGACCAGTTTGGGCRCTGGGAAAGCAGCTGTGGCCAGCAGACACACTCACCACGCAGCCTCTGCGAGCTCCAGCACCTTCCATGAGCAGTGGGCTCAGCAGCCCCAGGGGAGCTGTGCAGGGTGGTGCCAGCACTGGGAGCACTGGGAGCACTGGGATTTGAGCATCCTGGAGGTGGCTGACATGAGGGCTCCAGTGGGCTCTCAGAGCTTGGGCATCCTCTGCTCAGTGTCTGCTCAGACCCCAATGCTTGCCAGAGCCTGCTGAAGGATCCCTAATATTCATCCAATCTCAGTATGGGGTTAAATCTCATCCCTTACACACAAGGGGAATTCATGTTTTGGAGCACTGTCGATAAATGGCACTTCTGTGATCCCCCCAATATCATCTGTGGCTCTGTGTGTGCATGACACACCTCTGGCCAGGATCTCTGTGAATTCCTGGCCACCTCAGAGCTCTCTGGGGCCACCAGCATCCTCTGGCTCCAGGGTGCTGTGGATTGGAAGGGGTCTCTAAAACATAGCCCCCTTCAGAGGGGTACAGGGGTTCACAGCCTTGTCCAGCAGCTCCCACAGCTCCTGCTGGGAGCAGGGCTGTCCTGCCAGCTCTTACCAGTCAATCCAGGCTATTTAGGGGCTTCTTCTCCACTTAATAAAAATMATGATCTCTATACAGCAGCTCTAACTTCCCCTCTTGCTGCATATTAAGTTCTTGCAGTCCCACGACTGAAAGATTTAAAATGAGCCTTTTGGCTCATCCCTGGCCAGAGGCTCTTGGCACAAGGAGCAGGGGATTCCTGCCATCCCAATGAAGGGCTGTGGGAGGGATGGTGGAGCCAAGCCTTTCCAACTGCCTTCATCTCCGCCTTGCACAAGAAGGAGTTCCAGCTGTGTCAGGGAGGAGGTTTTGGGCTGGTGGAGTTGGGCTTTCTGTCCCTGCCAGCAGCAAAYTGTGGTTGGGCTGGGCTGCAGCTCCTTTCTTGCCCCTTCCCTGCCCTCACTGCTGCCTGGATCTCACTCTGCTCAGCACAGCCTGCTGCTCCTGCAGGGCCTTTCCCTGTACCCCTGGCATCACCCCGGGACATGGATGTGACCTCAGGGTGRTGGTGCTGCTGTTCTCTGTCTCTCTTTAGTTTGGGGCTGCTCCCTCAACCCACCAGCCCTTCCTGGGCATTTTTCAACATATCAACCATTGCCCAGGGAAGGGAAAAACCACCCACAAACGTGATGGGTTTAGCCAGGTTCAAATGGCCCCTGGTTTGTGGATAGGGGGTTGGTTCTCTGTTAGGAGCCCATCAGCCACACGAGGATTCACAGGCAGTGCTGCCCTCACTCCCACAAACACCTCTGCAGCAGGCAGCAATGATGAGCTGCTCCTAATCTCAGCCCTTCTCTCGCTCAGCACCTGCACTGGAGTGTCCCAGAGCCATCCTGTGCCCTGAGCGAGCACTGCTGTCCTGAGGGTCAGCACWAGGACCTGGGTCTGGGCTTTGACAGGGATTTCTCTTTCCTTTGCCTGAGTGTGTTGTGTTGGGAMAGCGCTGCCCTCTAATTGAATGTTTCTATAAACGGAGCTGGGTCTGTGCTAGGCTCGACTTGAGGCTAAGCCAGCCTAGGAGGAACCTTTCATGAGCCAGGGATGCCAGGGCAGGCGGGGACTCTGTGGATGGCAGGCAGGGCTGTGCTCTGCCTCAGGACCCGCTCACATGTGGGAGATTTGGGGATGTTTCACACGCCTGGTGAGGGCTGGGGCTGTGGGACAGGAGTGAGCTCCCTGCACAGCTCGGTTATACCTGTGCTCCATCCCCTGCTCTGGCAGTGACACAAGCTGGGCTGATGGCAGCAGGAGCCACAGCCATGCYCAGGAGGATCCCAGAGCCTGGCACAGCTGGGCACAGGCACAGGAAACTGAGGGTTTTGCTGGAGGGTCTTGCGACAGACGAGGAAATGAGAAAAGTGCCAGAGGATAACTCCCTGTCAGAAACACTTCCCAGGGGTGTTATTCTTTCATGAGCACTTTGGGGCTCCCTCCCATCGTGTCCAGGCAGTGGTGAGGCACATCCACCTCCTGACACCCAGCTACAATCCCAGCACAGCCCCTGAGCCGCCCGTGCCCGCAGCCCCTGGCACAGGGACATCYCTCGCCGTGCCAGTCAGCGCAGGGACACAGGGAACAGATCTGCTGGAGSCGAGGAGCTCGGCTGGGTTTGCAGAGTGGGGGAGCTCGGGTGCCTTGTGGATGGAAACAAGCTGGGAATGATGAATCCAGGGTTAAATTAAACACTCCCGACAGCTTTAAATAATCAACTGTCCAGAGCTGCAGCTATTTCCATCTCAGTTTGGAGAGGGAAGGGCTGATGAGGGCGGGCTGCTGGAGAGGGGATGGCTGGGGGTTAACATTTCATACTCCAGGCACCACAGGACCCTCAGGGGAGGGTCTGGGGGGATGGCAGCCTTGTTTGGGCGGCCTGGCAGTCACCAGGAGTGCCAGGCAAAGGTGGCACAGGTGGTGACACCACGGTGCAGGGCTGAGCCAGGTGCCCTGGTCACAGCAGTTTCCCTGTGCCCTTCTTCCTTCCCTCCCTCCCCTTCCATCAGAGACCTGCAGAAGTGACAGAATCAGGAATGGTTTGGGCTGGAAGGGACCTTACAGATGGTCTCATTCCAACCTCCCCTGCCATGGGCAGGGATGCCACCCCTCAGTCAGGCTGCTCACAGCCCATCCARCCTGGCTGTGAACACTTCCAGGGATGGGGCATCCACCACATCTCTGGGCAGCCTGTGCCAGGGCCTCACCACCCTCACAGTAAGGAATTTCTTCCTACTATCTAATCTCCTCTAATCTCTCCTCTTTTAGTTTAAAACCGTTTCCCCCTGTCCTGTCACTGTCAGCCTGTGCAGACAGTCACTCTCTCTAGTTTTTTAAGCTCTCTTTAATTATTGGAAGACTGCATGGAGTTCTCCAGAGAACAGAAGTCCAACAGGTCTGAGGTTCTGGGCTGTCACACAAAATCCCCCGGAAAGCCTTGCCAGAGAGGGAGCAGCCCAGGAAAAAGGCAAATTCCTCCTGTTTGAGAGATGGGTACAGGAGGGAATAGTTTAGACAGGAAAGCACCAATTTCCTCCTGTCCAGCTTCTTCGTGCTGCCATGGCAGGAGCAGTGTAAACCAGCCCAAATTTCAGAGGGGGAAGGGCCTGTCAGGGGTTTATCAGGCTGTAGATTATCTCTGCGAGGGAAGAGCGCTCTGTGCTCAGCTCCCCACCATCCCCAGCAGGAGCAGCTGCCATGTGCTCCGCTGGATTCACAGCCCCGATTGTATCCCCGATAATCCGCTGACAGCCTGCCGCCTTCTCCAGTTACAGGCAGGGCTGTCGGGGCCGGGGGAGCAGGAGAACGCTCCCCAGCAGCTGGGGGACCTCAAGGGAGAGGAGCGGGGGAGGAGGAGAGGAACAGCACCCCTTGTCAGCGTGCATCCATAGGGACCATCCCCGCGCTGCGAGAGGGGGACTCTCAGGGAGCCGAGACCCCCTCCGTKGGGCTGGTGCTTCCCAAGGCTCTCCAACACCCAAACCCTGGCTCCCAGAGCCGAGCCCACGCTGCCGAGGCTGTCCTGCCGCTCCCGGCAGAAGCCCTGTGCGGGTGGTTCCTTCTCTGCCACTTTTGGGGCCAGGAGAAAGGAGTCACACCCCGGCAGGGAGCCGAGGGCAAAGCCA